TGGGCAGATAGAACCCGAAGAGCGGTAGCGCGTGCTCACACAAACTCAAACCAGCGCCTCGTCGTCATTGCTGCCTCCTCCGCTCTACCGCTATCGCCCCTTCGTTCCCGCTCCTGCCCCGCGTCTTCCCATGCTCCCTCATCCGCCCTTCCACCCTTCGCGCTACGTCACCCTCTGTGGTGTCCGCCTAACCAACCCCACCCGGCCCCTCTGCCGCGCTACCCCCTGCTGCCACTGCTGCCGCTGCCGCCGCCACCGTTCCCCGCCACCGTCCCCCGCCTGTCCACCCACAGGCCCGCGAAACCGCTCGTTGCCGTACCACCGAGCCACCCCACGTACCGACTCCCCCATTACCCGGCCGCCTCCAATCCTCTCCCTTCGCTCGCCAACCCCTTGCCTGTGCCGGCCGACTCCTCTTCGCTTTGCGCGCGACTCCGCTCTCTTGGTCTCTTCTCTCTTTCGACTCTCTGCCGTCCCCGTTGCGGTCCTCGCCCCTTTCCCTCCCCCTCTTCCTATCCTGCCACTACCTCGCGACGCCCGGCGTCACCCCCTTCGGGCAACCAGCACACCCGAAAGCCGTGCGCTGTGGAACACGACAGGCAGCTCCGCGATTATCTTTTGTCCGATCGTATGTCGCGCGTGTATGGGTGCGAGAGAATGCGAAAGGGGAGCGAGGGGAACGGGGAAAGGACGCGCGAGAGGACAGCAATTTAGAAGCAATATAATAGAACAGAATAGGAGAGAATAGAAATCCCGTCCTCGCGATGTTCTCGAAACGTTTTACAAGAGGGAAATAATCAAGGTTCGCAGATTTGTTTAGATTAAACAAATTCGCTAGACAAGAGAAAAGAGAATATATAAGTAAAAAAAAAAATTAATCACCATTATTTTATTCGCAGCATTATTATCTCTGCTCGATTAAAATTGTTTAATCCCAAAAGGGGGACGATGAGAAGAGTATAATTTCATATGAAGATAAATTCTGTATTTTTCAGATTTTCGCAAAAAGGCAGAAAGCCGAGATTCGAGATATTAATTAATAAACAATTTGAAAAATCTGATAATCAGTAGTAAATATAATGGATATGATAAATGACTCTCGGTGATGTCTTTTTTATAAGCTACACTCTTCTCTCGATCGACGATTACGGGCATCTGTGTTGATGGCTCGGCATGATAGCAGCGTATTTTGTGATGCGTACTTTGAACAGGAGGTTTGGAATTTTACGCGTTTCCGCGGGGTGGGGAGTAGCGGGCGAGATGCGATATCGAGAGCGGTTTCTAGAGAGGAAAGCGTGCGTAGATCTCGCCGATATTCGGAGGAAAAAGGGACTGTGTGCGCGCGGCCGCTTTGTGCCGCGCCGTCCGTCTGTGTGCCGAGAACGCCCTTCGGCTAGGGCGAGGTTCCCGCTTTGTAACGCCAGTGATTTCGATTCGATCGCACTGCTCCTTATATTTTGCGGGAAATTTTATGAAACGTCGGTCGAGCGGCTTGATCGTAAACGAGATACGAAAGTTGTGTACGTACGATCAAAATGTAAAACCATTGTGACTCAACGAACAATTTAACTATTAATAGGGTCGCTTTATTGCGTGAATTATAAAACGTGTTTTGATAAGACGTTTCAATTGTGTTACGTATACGTGTCAGATCGAGTTCATGTGTCATCAAAGGTTGGCTCATTTAGTGAAAGCAAGTCCGGATTATTATAGCTCTACAGATGTGATATTTTTAGAAATTTTGGAATTTTAGAAGAATTTGTAAAGAGTAAAATTGCAAGCGTTTCCTTTTTTTTTTCAACAAAAATTTTAACTCTACCTTTTTAAGTATCCACTTGATAATTTGCATAATCCGATAGATAATGTCAAGCGTAATTTATATGCTCGCGTGAGTACTACAAAATATTTGTAACCTTTAACCACTGGCACGAAACGAACTAAGTACATAAGTACTCGCTTAGCACTTTTGAAACGCAAAAGCAGTTGCGCATCTCAATTGAGCGTAATTATATGAGTAAATAATTACATACATAGATGAATAAACATGATCTTGATTTAGGAAAATGGGATATATAAAATTGGAAATGGATGTTTTTATATTACTATTTATATACTACATATATTACTATTTATATTACTTTTATATTATTAATGAGAGGAATGAGAGGGTAAACAAAACGAATAAATATACTTCGGAACATGGCGCTCTTTTCGTATTACGCGAGCCGTTAAATATTAAATCGGATTAAATTGTTGTCGAACGTGCCGCATTTAGAAATTAATTTATGCGAGCGATGTTATAAACATATCGTCGTTCTTTCCCTGCCGATTCTTTCTCGCGGAAATCTTAACTGCGAGATAATATGACACATATTCCGACGAAGCGACGCAATCCTGTTGTCCGCGTGATCATGATGCCTACCGTCATTACCACCGCAATTACTATACCGACAACGATTACGCGCCATATCTTCCAGTTCTTACTTTCGATTCTTCTTTCTTTTGCAGGTGAAGCCGAGTAACGATTACGGGATCAGCGCATTGGCATCGATCTTGTCGCACCTATGGATATATATCGCCATGGGGCCCGAGATAGAAAATAGGTATGTGTGCTGTGAAATAATTCCGCATCTCATAAATTATTTATGTATGAACGTAAATACGCTTTATCGAGCGTAATTCGAGAAAAATAAAATAACGCGAATTATGAAATACGATTCTTTCGGTGAAATCGAAAACGATATGAATAATATGCGAAATGTGATTATTATCGTGTTATTAGTAAAATAATGTGCCGCTAAAATATGGAAACTACAGAAGTGTAATTCGTTAAAGAAAAAAAAAAAAAAAAAAACGAAGTTTTTAAACGGTGTAGATAAATAATAAATAAAACGACATTACTGTCGTATAAATTTATACATCGTCATATGACGTTACTTTATACGATATTTCTCTGTGTGCGAGCGGAGTTGGAGCGTTGTAAAATCTTCGTGCCGATTTTTTTCGTGCGGTGGCTACGCGGAGTTGCGGAACCAGGGGCTTTTTATTATCCTCGTTCTTCTCTGCGTTTTATCCTGTGCGTAGCGGACCGGATTCCGGAATTTTGTGGATTTTGAGGGTGGGGCTACGGTGGACACGTTATCGGTAGTGGCTTTCGAATCGACGATGTATTCAATCGAATCGTACCTATATATAGTTGCCGTTGTAGCGTTGTTTTATTCCGGTGACGATCTGCAAGCAACGAAAATTGATAGCGTTTCTAGCGTGCTTAATATTTCCGCGCGGCGATATCCGGCTGCTTTATTTATATTAAGTTTCTGCAAACTAAACTGACATAAATCGGGGAAAATTCAAACTGCAAATTGTTTCTGACTACCGATGATGAGAAAATTAAATTATATAAATCCGATCGACATTTTACCATTTATACATGTGTTTAATTTTAATGGCGCAAAATTTGTCGCAACGTTGATTCTCTCCTCCCCTCCCCCTCTCTTTCTCTCTCTCTCTCTCTCTCTTTCTTTCTCTTTCTCTTTCTCTCGTGATTATTCCTGCTAATGGGGATTATGAAAATCCGCGACACACGAACGCTCTAGTTTAAAGGGGGCTAAGTTTATCTCGATCATATTGCGACAATTTCAAATCTTTTGGATTCATAGTCGAGCAATATCCGGTAAAGCTCGCTTGTTATCAATACAACGGTTTTCGGCCCGATAACGTGGATATTGGAGTATCGTTGTAGTGTTTTCTATAAAACGAGTGGCATCCGACGTGACGTAAAATTCACATTTTGATGATATAGTCAAATTCTGTCTGACGCGCGTATCGAAAGCGCGGTTCGTCCGATGACGTTTGCAAATGTTACTAAACAAACATAATGTTATTGTCTACCGCGAGAGATCGCTTAGCTTTACTGGAACAACTTGATGCTTCAAATAAACGCATAAAGAGCATTATATATATTTTGAGGCGGAATATTTTATATCGCACTTGCGTATCGTCGTTGCGACGTTCGCACAGTTGCATTTGATTTAAGAAATAAAAATTTCCTCATCAGAGGTAAACTTTTATATATTTAACGTTTCATTCGAAGATGGAATTATACAGAATTTATAAACGCACTGAAACGGCATCGTGAATGCTTAAATTTTAACTTTCTTCCGATAAGAGCTTCTCGAGAGCATAAAACATTTTTCAAGCTTGCGGTTTGTACCGTAGTCACTTATATAATTCTTGAGCATGGGCTCATCGCGCCTGATTATATTGAGCAAGACATAGTCCGTCGTTCAAATCTCTGAGATTATCGTCTTGATTATGCCACCGGTGATCCCACGACACGTCTTTTAGATTCGCGATCCCTGATAATATTCACGCGGCTCGCTCCGGAGACACTTTGTATAAGCTCACGGCGACAGGCGTGTCGAACTTCGTGCGCGGATCGAATAAATCGTCGACGATGACGTCAACGGACAATTCTGTCTCTTACTGCACACGTAGATTACGTGCCCGCTGATTGCGGCTTGCGCATGCACGGCACCTTGCGCGGCGTTGGCGGCTGGGCTATGGGAACTCGTCGTCGTCGTCGGAGTGACTCAACGCCGGCACGTTTCCTCGACGATGATCGAAGCCACCCACGCTTTCTGCTCGCCCGGCGTTTTCTGCCGCTACGCCGTGTGGCGCGTCAAATCGCATATTACAAAACTCGCACTCGACGAGATATGTAGGCCGCCGCCGCCGTTGCGTTGTGTGTCGCCGTATCCGAGCTACGTGCGAACGTTATTCCGTCAGGTGAACAGAGACGCGAATTTTCTCACGTGGGCGGCGATGATCTCGCACATTTTCGTTCTTCAATCTCGATGCCGTTCCAGGATGTCTTGAGGTCCCGTATGGAAATGCGCAAACGGTTACGAAGAATGGCGGTGTATGCCGTTTTCTCATCGCGAGAAACGCAAGGGAAATTTGTGGAAATAACGTAAACTCCGGCTTCACTTTGCTGCAGTGATGCTGCTTCTTTTCGTCGGGTGCTTCTTTTCGT